TGGTTCATATCTTGTATGCAGATTTTTTAATGAGTTGGGTTTATTAGTAATAAATATCACATTTACCAACTTTACGCATATCTATCTAGTTTCTAAATATAAGTAATAAATTCTTTTGCGTGCATTTATTAGTTTGTAAGCTTCTTTATGTGAAGTCTTTTTTCGTTTTCTAGTACTGTGGTATTAATTAAAATGTATTTTGATTGGTTAATTATCACGGGAAATCACAGGTAGATCTACTAAAATTAACCAATCGTATGAATGTCTTCCTATGAAGGGCATGCCCTAGGCACGATATGAGGGGCATGCCTAAAAATTTTTCTGTGCCCCCAACCCTATTGATTACCCAATCTTACGTATTTGTTTTGTTGTTGTTATTTACGCGTTACTAAGATCAGATTTTTAGGGTCTAGCCAATTTTTCCAAAATTTCTAAAAATTTTTTAAAAATTTTCGAAGATCTTATTTTGTTGCTAGCTTTAAAGTTTTTGTAAAAAGCTACTTTAATAAACTAAAGATTATTTTTAAAGCTCTTTCTTTTTTACTAATACAAGAAACCTTGTTTCTTATACTAGTTCTTGAGAAAAATAATGATTTAGTTTATAGCTGATTAAAATCAAGTTGTAATTTGTAGATCAGTGGAAAGAGTTTTGATTCCCATGATATTATTAATGTGTAGTAAGTCATATAAAAATATAAATAAAATTTGTGTTTGTTAATATCTATATAGTTTTAGTAGATTTATAAGCAAGTCCGGAATATGTGACAGGTTGATCGACAAAATTAAGAAAAAATTTTTTCTATCTCAAAATTTTGCCTATGAATCTGCTCTTGGTGCTCTAAAAAAAAAAATTCTACTCATAATTCTGGATTAAGTTTTGGTTAAATCCTCTTTTTAACTCCTTCCAATCTGATTCTAATGATTAAAATCAATTTAATATTGGCGATAATAATCAATTAGCATAACCTGTTACACATTCTGGTTTTGCGATTCATAAAAGTTAAAATTCTCAACAGGTACTAGTAGTACAAGCTTTCTGGTACATATAACCTCAATATAATAAACCTCAATTTAACGATAACAAAGATTATTTCTAATTTTTGTGTTTAAATTAGCTCTGATATAACGAAATTACTAATAAAGATTTGATATAATAAAGAAAATCTCCAGCTTCAGAGCTTTGTTATATCAAAGTTATACTGTAGTAATTTCTTTAGAATAAGGTAAAAATAGAAGGTCTTTGTAAATCCAAACTATTAAATTTTGAATTTTTGACAGGAAAGAGTAATATTAAAAATTTCACAAATATATAGTTATATTGCTAGATTATATTTATTCAAGTTGAAGTAAGTTTAGATTAAATCACTTGTCTAAAAAAAAATAGCTAATTAAAATCAGCTAGCATTATAACTAATACTTTGTTAGTGCTTTTTCAGTTTTCAGAAGCTTGAAGCAGAGATATGTTAGAAAATCAGATTAGATACAGAAGTGTATCTAGTAATTCTAATTGAGTGAGCATACTGTATTATCTAGCACTATGTGTGTGAAAAAGTGAAGTCAGATATGTATAATTTAATTTATTGCTTAATTCTATTTATAGAATGAGATCTTACTTCATTTCACAATTCATAAATGAAATTTTGGATCGACTTAAATTGTGAAATGACACAGAACAAATAGATTGCAAACCCTGTATTTCTTTTCGAAATAATATAAAATTTTTATGAAACTAAAAAATACATCTCTAGATATATTGGGCTTATATATTTTATCATAGATCTACTTGTATGCAACTTTAAAATTTTTTTTGTATATAATGTTTACACTAAATTTGTAAACCTTAGGTTTAATACTAACACAAAATTTCTATTAGAAAAGATAATTATATATATATATATTTTTTTTTTTTTTTTTGAAGTTAAGGTGAGGTTTTGCTCATATCTTTATTAATTTGTTGAAAAAGCCTCTTGGAGCTTTTCTGAATATAAATTACAATATTTATTTCAATTATAAATATATTACAAGAATAGAGCTCAGACTATAGACAGGTATCTATCTTAGGATGCTAACGACTCGACTCAACTAACTTTGGCTCAGCTTGTATTAACTTTTATTTCAGAGTCGACTTTAGTCGACTCTTAGCTGATCACATGACTTACTATTGTTACACATATATATCAATATATAATACTGAATTTAAATATAAAATGTATAATATATAAAACACTATCTAGTTATTAGGATCGATACTGAATAATAAAAGCAAAGAATTTATAAGCTGTAATAATCTTGTTTAAGCTATTACAAATATTTTTAGTATATCTTCAAATTACTGCATGATTTTAGCTATTTATTTACTGTACTTATATTATTTTTAACTCTGTAATATAAGCAAAAACTATATAAAAAACAATTGTTTTTAATTTATTGTTTTAATTTATTATCACACTAATTATAAAATATTGATATACTATGACAAAATAATGAATAAAAAAATAGTATAAATATAATACTATTTTATTCGATATTTATTTGTTTATCTATTTAATAGATTAAAATAAAGTTTAGTATAAAAAATTCATAAAAATAAACTAATTAAATAATCATTATATACTTTCAAATTTGGATCCAAGAATATTTTTATCTATCTAGCTCTTCAGGCAAAGGCATGCACAAGCATTTTTACTTGTTAATCGATTTTTTGCCTTGCTAATAATAGCTCCAGCAATTGAAAAATATCTGTTCGCAAGGTACTAAACTTGCTTAAATTGCTAAATAATTTCATGCAAGGTTAGATAATAGGAGAAATTCATTTTGGTGCATTTTCCACCATATTAATGGTTCAATATCATCATTATAAAGTAGAAGATTCCAATAACGTTGTATCTCATCAATTTGTTGTATGTCTGATAAATTTTGTGTTAATCGTGTTACAAATATTGATACTTTTCGAGTTGATGTTATATTTGTATTTCTTATAAGAAGTTGGCATTGTATTGGATTAAAAATTTCCTGAATTGTTTTTCTAGGAAAACAAAATGTTTTGTAGCATGGATCTAAGAGTGCAGCTACATATAATATTTTATCAATATGTTGCCAATAATTTTGCAATTTATTATAAATTGCTACAAAGACCTCTTTTAATAAATTATCAGCAGTATTATAAGATTTTAAATCATCACAAATGCTAAGTAAAATAATTCACACATGAGCAATGGTAGGATAATTTTGTGCAGATAATTTCTTCGTAGCAATATCAAATTGATCTAGTAATTTCATTAAAATCTCAATATAATTTCATTCACTTTGAGTTAAATAAAATCTTGTAATAATGGGTGATGTAGTATAATTATATCCAAATATTCTTTAAGAACTAGTATTTGTTTTAGCATATAAAAAGTAGAATTCCAGCAAGTTTTAATATCAAGAATTGGTCGAAGGAATTCCTTTTTATCTGCTAAATAAAATCATTCTAAGTCTTCTAAATATGTATAAGAATTACATATTGCTTTTACTAGCTGTCTTACTTTTTTAATTAGCAACTCAACCTGTTTTAATCCACTTTCTACTGCAAGATTAAGTATATGACAAATACAACGATAATGCGTAAACTCATCAGAATTAAGCTTTGCTTTTATTAGGTGACATGCTTTAACTATATTTGCTCTATTATCACTTGTAATAGCAAAAACTTTTTGAGTTAAGTTAAATTCATCTAAAATCGACATTATAAAATTACAAATTGCTGCTCCCGTATGAGATCCTTGAAATTTAAATATTTCTAAAGTAAAATATTGTAAGTGCCAATCCTTATCAACAAAGTGAATTGTAAGAGCAAGAAAACTCTCTATTTTAATATTAGCCCACATATCTGTAGTAATTGATACTGCTCCAGGAATATTACTAATTATTATATTAAGCTTATAACGTTGTTTTATAAATGTATCTAAAATTTTATTTTGAATTGATTGTCACTTTGGAATTTTAAATAGTGGATCAAGTTTATTTAATAATTCACGAAATGAAAGCTTATCTACTACAGAAAAAGGCTGCATACTTTGAATAATCCACTTAATTAAAAGAATTAATTGTTCTATTTGTTCTTTTTCAGAATGTGATTTGCATTTTTTATTTTTTAATAATCCATGTCTATATAGATGCTCCTGTATACTTGATGTACTTGTCTTTGGTGAAAATATTGTAGTGCATCCTGGAAATTTACAATGTCAATTCTCTTTGCCTACATGATCCCACACATCTGCAGTATATCTAGTAGAAGCTTCTACCTCTCCTGTAGTTTCTTCAATTCTTGTATCATCTTCACTATCAATATTCGGATTATTAATTTCAAAAATTTGTATATCTGTTCTAAGCATTTCACCATGTTCTAGTTCTTCCATTTCAGTAATGTATTCATTAAAATTATTATCATTTTCAAAATTTCGATCGAACTCATTCATTGTATTCATTTTATCCGGTAGTATTAAAGTTAAAAAATTTTTATTTAGTATTACAATTTATATACTATTAATTTTAACAATTATATATATACTAGCATAAGACCCGTCGCGTTGCTCCGGATTAAAGTATCATTTATATTATAGCACACATATATAATCGATTTACTTATTTGCGCCGGTGATACAAACCAAAAAAGGAAAAAAAACAAAAA